TACAGTATTATTCCTGTAAACTCTTGAAATGCTTCGATAATTTGGGAAGATGTCCACTTGAGTTTTGTTAAAAATGACACTAGCCCTGAACTCAACGTTGTTGTTTGCCAGGGCACACAAAGTTCCCTTTTCCTTTCTTTGAAGACACCCTACTGAGACTAAGACCAGTGTATCCCGGAGAGAACTTGTCTGCAGCCATCTCATGATCCTAGCGACATGTGTAAATGTGTTTTGTTTGGATTTATATGCAAACCAGAACCCAAGTAGCAATATTTTATGGCTTATCATCACATATCTGGATTTTGAGGAAAAGTTAAAATCTGGAGATAAAAAAGGATGAGTCATCAGAATATAGGTGGTCTTCAAAGTCAAGATACTGGACCATGCTGGGAGCGAGTGCAGAATAGGATTTCTAAAATGTAGACCTGGGATGCTCCAATGTTGAGGGGTCTGGATATCAAGAGAAGTCAGCAAGAGGAAATAGAGAAGAAACAACGGAAGAGGGTGGAGGAAATTTCAGCTTCGGAGAACCAAACAAGTAAAGTTTTTGAAACAGCACAGAGCAATCAATGCTCCCAAATGCTATTGATGGGTCAAGTAAGGTGAGCTGGAGCGCACTGATTGAGCAAGATGGAGGCCACTGGTGAGAAGAGCAATTGGAATGAAGCAGCCGGGTCCAGAGTGATTAGAGAGATCTCATGGGAAGATGGAAGAAAGGAACTGGCGCATTAAGCATTGACTATTTTTCAAGGAGCTGTGCCCTGGGAGGGTCTACTAAAAGAATTCCTTTTCCTTCCTGAAGGAAACTCTCAGGACAGCGGACAGAATGGCCACTGGGGCTACTCTCGCTGGAATTCTAGGATTCAATACAAAGAGGGCGATTACTGAAGGTTTTATCTACTTGGCTGATTTAGCCAATGTCCATCTTGGTGAGTCCTTCTTATAACTACACTCTGAAAATTCCAATAGAAGTTTTGTCCTTAGAGTAAAAGCCCCTGTCCGCTATAGTCAGAGGACTGCATCCTCTTCTAAACCCAAAACACAAGTTCCGATGCTGAAGCCTCATAGATTCGCTGTGCAGCCTCCTCCTGGGCACTGAAAGGTCTTTAAATAATGGAGGTGGGAGTCAGTGAACCTTTATGTACAGACTCTAGAAATGAAGAGCTAATTAACCTCAAACTAGGCAAGCTTCCAAGCCTCCCAGAGAAGTTTATTTATGCCTCGTACAACTCAGGG